TAGAAAGGAATGAAAACCAATCACGAAAGATGACCTTTCGTGGAATTAAGCAATTTGCAAGTAGCTGCAGAGATCCTGGGAACCCACGCCCTACCCCGCCCGGTAAGATCATGCAGCTTTGTTTTCTATTGGACTCACATCAAACTTGTTAATGTCAATAAGAAAGAAATCGAGCTAGTCTTTGTTGTGAGCCTAATGAAGCCTTTGCTGGTGCATGGAATTTCCCCCTTGGATTTTCCTCTCTTTGCCTTTTTCTGTTTCACTTGATTTAATGTCCTTCTTGGCGGTGGCTCTTTCACTTTTTATTTTCAAACAACAGAGGGGGAGATGGAGAAGGGGGAGAGAAGTTTAAAAACCAAGGAAGACTTTGAAGTGAGTGTTTACCCTTTCTCCAACGTGAGGCACTTGGATCCTCCGCAAACCAAGTCTGGGAACACTTCGCCTTAGACCGATGAGTGGTGAGGGAAAGGAGGGGTCCCATTATGTTGTGGGTTAGAATTCACACCAAGGGAGGGCTGAATCCCTTCCTCTCTGCTGAACCACTTCTCAATGTGCTGTTTCTCAGCTGGCAGGATTGGCAAGTTATGCCCTAACTTACTTCTAAGTGGTAAGTTAGGTTGTAGATCACACGAAATCCATCTCAAACTGACTTAATCCAAAGAGAGACTTTTAGCTCATCTAGCAGAAAACTCCCAGGTGAAGTTGGCTTTAGGTCATGTCATCAGAAATTAGTTCCTCTCCATCTCTTGGTTTGATAGTCAGATTTATTGGCAGGCTTCATGCGGTAGTTTCTGGAAACTGCAGGATAATATCTACCCAAGGTTAAGTTCAACAGAAGAAAACAGAGAAAAAGAGAGAAAGAGAGAGAGAGAGAGAGAGAGTGAATCTCTTTCCTGTAGTTCCTGCATAAATCCTGGGGTTAACTGTGATTGGACCAATTTGAGATGACTGGACCAATCACTGTGGCAAGGGAATGAAGTTTGCCAATAGGCCAGACCTAGGTCATATATTCTCACTGACCAATCACTGGACTAGGGAATTTGGGAACCATGACTGTCAAGCCTTCGTTACATACTCTACTCTTGATCTGGGGTGGATCCCACCCAGACCATATGGCCTGAGAAGAGAGAAGGTTTGTGTTCCTGCAATTAGAAAAGGAAATGTGACATACTATTGTCATTAAAAAAAGCAACAAAGAAAGGAATGACTTCAAGGCAACCAAACCAAACCAAACCATTATCCATAAAAACTGGGTGGTGGGGGGCTTCCCTGGTGGCTCAGTGGTTGAGAGTCCGCCTGCCAATGCAGGCGACACGGGTTCAAGCCCTGGTCTGGGAAGATCCCACATGCCGCGGAGCAACTAGGCCAGTGAGCCACAACTACTGAGCCTGCGCGTCTGGAGCTTGTGCTCCGCAACAAGAGAGGCCGAGACAGTGAGAGGCCCGTGCACCGCGAAGAAGAGTGGCCCCCGCTCGCCGCAACTAGAGAAAGCCCTCGTGCAGAAACGAAGACCCAACACAGCCAAAAATAAATAAGCTTTCATTTAAAAACAAAAAACAAAAAACTGGGTGGTGGGTAGAGAGATGAAATTTCTCTTAAGTAGAATAATGCCATTCATAGCCACAGTTAGGCAATCATGATGAAGACTCTGGCTTAGTGCTTTATTCTCCTATTCCAATAATTATCATAGTCATAATCAGCATTTTAGTAATTACCATAATGATGTGGAATAGATAATCTTATGATACATTGTCTCATTCTATGTATATTAGTCTTGACAATTCCTTTTTACTTTAAACTTTGTTGTACACTACTCTTCGGTCTCCCACAAAGGCTGACGATCATATTCTTCTTTCCTTTAAAATATTTATTTTTGGGGCTCACTAATTAGGAGGAAAAAAAATCCAGATCCCTTCTCACACCATAATCAAAAGTGTATTTTGGAGTATTTAAAACCTAACTATGACAATAAAACTATATGTCAGCGGAAGAAATGTGGCAGAATATTCGGGGGTGAGAAGGACTTTTAAACAAAACTTTTTCTATTACATCAAAAAGAGGATTTATTTTCAATAAAGTACGTCATGGGCAAAGGTTGCAGAGAGAGGAAAGATTCGAAGAAGATATTTGCAATATCTAAAACTGACAAGGGCGTGTTTTCTAGGATATACAAAGCACGTCTACAATTCAACCAGAAAACATCATAAACCCCAATAAAAGAAATGGGCAAAAGATATGAAAAGGCAATTTGCAGAAGAGGAAACTCTGAAAGGCCAACAAGTGTATGAAGAGACATTAATAATCAGAGACATATAATTTAGAAAAACAATGTACTAATATACTATCATTAGACAAAGAAAAACTTGAGAGCTGAATTATCGAATATTGGTGGTCGGGTGGGGCTAAGTACCAGTGTACCTGCTAGTGAAGGTATAGACAGGTGCAACTTTTAAATGAGCAGTCAGGAAGCACTTAGTTAAATTAAATGTCTACCTATGATCTAGCAAGTCTTTTGGGGGGTAAATGTGCCCCAATAAAATTTCAAGTCCATTGGGGGGTCATGTATGAGGATGTTTTTTGTACTAATGTTTGGGGAGGTGATGTGTCAGTCCGGGTCCAATCAGGAGAGAGAAATCACACAATAATTTGAGCAGGAAAATTGAATATAAAGAATGATTGGTTTTGATAGGGTATTGGAGTAATATGCTATTGGTTAGTGAGAAGTAAATAGAACGCTAAAGAATACAGGAGTCGCAGGTATAAGGAGTAGCCATACCCCCTGCCCTGAAATCGGGTGCCCAACGAATGGTCTTGTCCTCTTCTAGGGTTACGGTCTAGACCTTGTTGGAGAGGGCTTGTCTGTGGCTCATTGCATGGCAGAGAAGTCACTGGGGTGCCTCGACAGTATAACTGGCTGGAAATCCATCCTCTAGTGTTTGCCAGAAACTCACCCTCTGGGGTGCTGGGCAAAGCTGTTGGTGGGGAGGGGGTCACTGCCAATGCTCTGATGCAGAACTGCATGGAACGGGGTGCTAGTGGGACCTGCTGGGGGCCGGAGGCATGCTGCTGCAGAACTGCCTGATTGCAGCAGGGGGGACAGTCCTGGGGAAAACTGGTGGCCTCAGGGTGCTGTGGACTGCACGGCAGGTGCCCCACACTTGAGACCAGCTTGTACTCAGACCCCTGATGAGAGGGCAGAGCCAGGAAAGAAACCCCTTGCTCCTGAAATGTTTCTTTTTTTTTTTCTTTCTTTTCTTTCTTTCTTTCTTTATTTTGGCTGCGTTGGGTCTTTGTTTCTGCGCACAGGCTTTCTCTAGTTGCGGCGAGTGGGGGCTACTCTTCCTTGCGGTGCACGGGCTTCTCACTGCCGTGGCTTCTCATTGCGGAGCACGTGCCCTAGGCGTGCGGGCTTCAGTAGTTGTGGCACGTGGGCTCAATAGTTGTGGCGCACAGGCTTAGTTGTTCTGCGGCATGTGGGATCTTCCCGGACCAGGGCTGGAACCCGTGTCCCCTGCCTTGGCAGGTGGATTCTTAACCACTGCGCCACCAGGGAAGTCCTCCTGAAATGTTTCTCCATCTTCCTGCATCTACTGAGGAAGCTTACCATTGTGTCAGCTGACAAAAGAAAAACATTAAAAGGGGCCATATTCATATCTGCAGGGCAGGCAATACACTGATAACAGGCACAGGTCAGGAATCACGGGGGGAGAAGATTAAAAGCCACCCTATAAAGCCGAGAGATGGAGAGGAACTAACTTGTTTGCTATGTGGAGGATGGAAATACAAGTAAATATAAACTAAAAAAGGAAAGCTTTTACAGATAATTATGACAGTGTACCAAGAACTGAAGGGTATGATTAAATTAACTCTTTCCCCATGAGTCTAAAATTTTTTAAAAAACACATTTTTTTTTTTTTTACCATGACAAATGTTCAGACAATATATTCATAGTGTTCAACAAATACTTGAGTTACCTAGTCTTTTGGGGTGAGGGACATCTTTTCATTAGTTTGAGGACTAAAGGAAATATTACCAAAGCAGTGGTATAGGCTATGATGAAAACACACAAAAAAAGAAATTAAAAAATATAAATAATTAAAAAACTGTTGTAGATATAAAACTTTTAGAATACAAAAGATTTGTTTAAAAGTGGGAAAAGCCTAAAGAAAGATGATTTTCTTTGAGTCACAAGGCATGCTGATTCACCTATATATAACTGAAGTAACAAAACAGTGAGATCATGGAAACTCAGTGAACTGTCACAAGGTAGCTGGTTAAAATAAGCCTTCTGTGACCAAAATAGTTTACAATCTAGTGTTCTAACAGTTTACTGTAGCAAGTACTTTAACAAATGTAGTTTCCTATAACAAATATTTATAGTATCAGAATTGTCAGTCAACAGCGCTTGGGACTATTAAAACAAACCTTTTAATATTACAGGAAAGTTCTTTGCTATTCTCAGTAAACAGTCTCAAACAGAAACTCAACTTTATGCCGACAGGACACAGAACAAGTCTACATTTAACGTGAATTTTATGATTTGTTGCCTGTGAACGTTCCCTAAGCTTTTCCTCGAGTCTAACCAGATGGAATATCTAGTAGAACACTTTGTCTTTTCAAAGTTCCCATTCCACAGTCTTCCAATTCTTTGCAAGCTTCTCATTATCCTGCTAATTAGGTTTTGTAGCCTTTGGCTTCAGTTACATTTTCTAGTCAAGTTTGAATTTTAAAATCTGGGGCAACTCTGAAGGAGAAATGTTATCAGCGGGCTGTGATTTCTCTGGTGGGCGCTAGGAGCCCATCACTTACCATGACTGTGAGGTATGATTCTGGAATTATACATTTTAGCCTGATGGGCACTGGAGAAATAGGTTACCACACCAAGGCCAAGTGTTTTGAAGTCAAGCATTCTGTTCCTGTTTCTTTGTGTTCCCTGCATGAAATGCAGATGTATAATAAATGCCATGTACGTATTGAAATGGGTTCTCCTGCTCTTTTGAATTCAGCAGCAAAACCGAAGAGAATATAAGTAGCAAGTAAATAATGTTAGATTATGGCCCAGATCCACACCTTGGACTTTATGTTCTTCGGGTTCATGCTGCTGTTGTCTGAAATATTTCTCTATGCAGAGTGATGTTTTCCTCTGGGGCCCTAAAGACTCCTTGGCTAAAGCTCAGAGCACACGATTCTATTTTAACTGCATAACCGATCTTACAGGAATCCTATGTCATCAGTTCCAAGTTGGTGAGCAAATGGTTATCCACCAGGGCCAAATAATGAGTGGTAATATGCCAATAATATCCATCTCCCAGCTTAGGAAAGAAAATTCTGAAATTACTCACTGCAGTATGAATTTGATAAGAGATGCCATTTACAGAACACTCTATGACATAAATCACAGCAAGATCCTTTTTGACCCACCTCCTAGAGAAATGGAAATAAAAACAAAAATAAACAAATGGGACCTAAAGAAACTTAAAAGCTTTTGCACAACAAAGGAAACTATAAACAAAACGAAAAGACAACCCTCAGAATGGGAGAAAGTATTTGCAAATGAAGCAACTGAAAAAAGATTAATTTCCAAAATTTACAAGCAGCTCATTCAGCTCAATATCAAAAAAACAAACAACCCAATCCAAAAATGGGGAGAAGACCTAAATAGACATTTCTCCAAAGAAGATATACAGATTGCCAACAAACACATGAAAGGATGCTCAACATCACTAATCATTAGAGAAATGCAAATCAAAACTACAATGAACTATCACCTCCCACGGGTCAGAATGGTCATCATCAAAAAATCTACAAACAATAAATGCTGGAGACGGTGTGGAGAAAAGGGAACCCTCTTGCACTGTTGGTGGGAATGTAAATTGATACAGCCACTATGGAGAACAGTATGGAGGTTCCTTAAAAAATTAAAAATAGAACTAACATACAACCCAGCAATCCCACTACTGGGCATATACCCTGAGAAAACCGTAATTCAGAAAGAGTCATGTACCAAATGTTTACTGAAGCTCTATTTACAATAGCCAGGACATGGAAGCAACCTAAGCGTCCATCAACAGATGAATGGGTAAAGAAGATGTGGCATATATATAAATGGAATATTGCTCAGCCACAGGAAGAAACGAGACTGAGTTATTTGTAGTGAGGTGGATGGACCTAGAGTGTGTCATACAGAGTGAAGTAAGTCAGAAAGAGAAAAGCAAATACCGTATGTAACACATATATATGGAATCTAAAAGAAAAGGTTCTGAAGAACCTAGGGGCAGGACAGGAATAAAGTTGCAGACATAGAGAATGGACTTGAAGACATGGGGAGGGGGAAAGGTAAGCTGGGACGAAGTGAGAGAGTGGCATGGACATATATACTCTACCAAATGTAAAATAGATAGCTAGTGGGAAGCAGCCACATAGCACAGGGAGATCAGCTCGGTGCTTTGTGACCACCTAGAGGGATGGGATAGGGAGGGTGGGAGGGAGACTCAAGAGGGAGGAGATATGGGGATATATGTAAATGTATAGCTGATTCACTTTGTTATAAAGCAGAAACTAACGCACCATTGTAAAGCAATTATACTCCAATAAAGATGTTAAAAAAAAAGAGATGCCATTTAATTTAGCCTTTGCTAGAGCTGTAAGGAAAACTCATCTGGCAAAGGGTCCTTCTACATAGTTTTCCTATTAAAGTTTAGATTTCTCTTTTTTGTTTATTTGGGTTTTTTTTGGCCACACCGCACAGCTTGTGGGATCTTAGTTCCCTGACCAGGGATCAAACCCGCGCCCCCTGCAGTGGAAGCACGGAGTCTTAACCACTGGACCCCCAGGAAGTCCCAACATACAAATATTTGAGGGTAGTTAATATATTAAGTAATTAGGCATAGTAACTGCAAGGTTGGATCTTAACAAACGGCACCGCGAAAACACAGGAAATCTTCAAGTGAGCTTTATTAGGGAGCGCTCCCGGGCGAGGTTCACTGGTCCGAGAGAAAGGGGCCAGAGAAGTCGCACCGGGCGAGGGTTGGGCAAGATTTTATAGGGGAAGAAGGGAAAGGGGTGTGGTGAATCTGGGAGGGCGCAGGGTATTCCTTATTTGGTGGTCTTTTTGGGTATCCTGGGGGACCGTTAGTCCCGCCCCTCGAAAGGTGGGAAGGCTGGGCCAGGTGCAAAGTCCCCAGGTCAGTTCCTGGAACTGGGTGGTCCGGAAAGTCTCCAGGGCAGTTTCTGGAACTGGGTGGTCGGGAGAATTTCGGTCTGATGCAACCTGTGAATCTGATTGTGTTCCCCTGCCTCGGGCCAGTTGGCCTTACAGTAACTTGGCTTTCAGTTTCCGTGATTTGCCAGAAACAATTAACCAGATCATTCAGGAGTGGAAACTGGGGTAGTAAGTTTCCATGGGGTGTGTGTGTGTGTGTGTGTGTGTGTGTGTGGTCAGTGGTGCCTGAGGGGGAATCAGGAAAGGTCCGAGTCTGGGAGGTCCTAGATTTTACAATACGCTTCATTGAGTATCTCAGAAAGGTATTGGACAACTAAAGCTCACCAAAAGTTGTGGGCATGGAAAGCAAGAGAAACAGGAAAATACATCTCCGGAAGGTGAGTAGAATGCTGATCATTAACTTGGCTTATGTGATAAGTTTTCTGAAATCTGGCTCCATCTCTGTTTTGCTTAATTGTACTGAGGTCAGTGTGTGTACATTTCAGGTACAATAGAGGGTCTGAACATTCTACCTTTAACTAAATATTCTTTTAATGCCTACATATTAAACAAAGTTTCCTACTCAGTATACCTGGGTATATACATATATAAAACTTAAGAGGAGAAATGTGATGGGTGTGCACTTATTATCTGTCTCCCTTATACTCAGGCTATTTTTTTTTTTAAATTGGAGGATAGTTGATTTACAATGTTGTGTTCGTTTCAGCGGGACAGCAAAGCGACTCAGTTATACATAGGTGATTGTGTATCTATTCTTTTTCAGATTCTTTTCCCTTATAGGTTATTACAAAATACTGAGTAGAGTTCCCTGCGCTGTGTAGTAGGTCCTTGTTGTTTATCTATTTTATATATAGTA